AGATGGCTAAAATGGAATTTTCTTGCTGAGCCAATTCTTGCTTTTCATAACACTGACGAGCTAATAGGCTTAACACTGATGAAATAACAGGCTGAGTGTGCTGAAACGCTGTCTAAAGGCCACTAAACCTTCAAAAGGCAGCCTACTAGGTAAATGTTGATCTGGTTACCTCCAGCTCCTTCCCACGGTAGGCGCATTCAGTTGGTCGGACAGAAGCCCTGCGAAGCTGTCATCGGCCAGGACAGCTGACTCACCGCCAGACATCCAGAGGTGGTTTGGATACCTCTGACAAGCACCCCTGCATCACCACCAAACGGCCCTTCTTCCACCCACTTGGTGCTGGTGGCAGGGAAGCCCTGACTCGAGGCATGACATTACTGCAGCGTGTGGGGACGTTCCCCCCCATTGCAGGGGACTGGCACAGCCCCCCGGGGACCCCGCACCCTGCTCTCCTTCCCCCTCTCGCCCAGCTTGCTCACAGCAAAACCAGCTGCTCTGACGTGACACCTATTCCAAAGACGGCCGAGAAATGCACGCGGTTTGGTTACCAAACCTCTGTTAGCTTGTATTGTGCTTTTCCAGAAATACCCTTTTTCCCCACCTCCCATCTTAAGTGGGTAAAAATCTTGAGCTGTTTCAGTTCAAGGAAGTGTTTGCCAACACAGAAAAAGAGGGTTGTATTCATCTTGAGGGCATCTGAGACAGATTTTTTTGCTAATTTTTCAATAATTAGGAGAATTTTTGAAAGCCACGATGAGGTGAGGTCCCTTTCTTGGCTATATTTGTCCAGCACTGACAGTTGTACTCGCATGCAATATCTACTACCGCATCCAGGTGAAGCTTCTGCCTTCAACAAATGATTTCTGAGTAGGCTTTCGTTAGCTTCTCTGCCTCACTGGTAACAGGATCAGGAAATCTAATAGCGCAAAATGTTAGAATGACATGGCGTAATCCTTTCTTTCTTTCACTGAAGTGTTACCCTTCATCAAGGCAGACAAATACTCTCATCCTTTTCCATGGTCAAAGCTGTAGATCTACTGTATCTCCTTGTGTCAGTAAGCCAATTTCTTGCCATATGTGCATAAATACATAAATAAAGGTAACAGTAGTGATTGCACTGTGGGTTGTTGCAGATACAGTATTGCTTCCATTTCAACTGTTGCAATTTAGCAACATTTCTGCCCACTGCGCCTCCTCTTTAAGCCTCCTCTTTTCTCAGCCGTTACCGAAATGGCAGCATTACACCAATGGCTCCTCAGTCGCTGGGCTTCTCTGAGCTGATGTTACACAAGCAGCCTTCTCTCTAAGAAACAAAAAGATGCTATGTATGAATCTTCATTAACAAGTCTTTATTATACTCTTAATGAACAAAAACCTGGGAAATTTACCCTAATGAAGTTAAGTGAGGTCACGCTGTAACCCCTTGCACGA